ACCTCCTCTCTTTATCCATCACGCAATCACTCTCTTTCGTCTTAGTTATTCATTCTCACTCTCCTCTCACATTTTGTTCATTCCCTCTCTCTCCTATCCTGTTCAATCTCTCTCCAAATCCCCTCTTTCTCTCAACTCTCCCAACCATCTTTATCAACTCTCCAAATCATCTCTATCTAATTCAACTCTCCCAACCATCTTTATCTCTCTCAAATCTCCCAACAAACCGTCTATATCTCCTTTGGCACGCCCAAACCCTCATTATCCTACGTACCTCTCTTTCTCTCAACCACCTCTATCTCTTTCAATCCCCCCAACAAATCATCCTTATCTTTATTTTCCTCTCCTCTCCACACAGCCAAATCTCTCTCTCCCTTCAACGCTACCTTTTTTCTTTCTCGAATGTTCTCTCTCCCTTTATTGCATGTACCTCTCTCTCTGTCTCTCATGTATTTCTCTCTTCTCATCACACACTTCTCTCCTCTTTTTCATGCCACTTTTCTCTCCTTTCTTTCTCAATCTTCTCTCTCCCTTCCAAATCTTTCTCTCCCTTACACGTCTACATCCCCTCACTCACACACTCACACTTACACACATGAGAGTGTATGATGTGAACGTGAGAGTCTATGATGTGAGTGTGGGGGATGTAAACGTGTAAGGGAGAGAAAGATTTGAAAGGGAGAGGTACGTGCAATAGAGGGAGAGAGAAGATTGAGAAAGGAGAGAAAAGTAACGTGAAGAAGAGGAGAGAGAAGTGTGTGAGGGAGAAGAGAGATACGCGACGGACAAGAGAGAGGTATGTGCAATAAAGGGAGAGAGAAGATTCGAGAGAGAAAAAAGGAGAAAAATGTGGCGTTGAAGGGAGAGAGAGATTTGGGCGTGTGGAGAGGAGAGGGAAATAAAGATAAAGATGATTTGTTGGGGGGATTGAAAGAGATAGAGGTGGTTGAGAGAAAGAGAGATACGTGGGATAATGAGGGTTTGGGCGAGCCAAAGGAGATAGAGACGGTTTGTTGGGAGATTTGAGAGAAATAAAGATGGTTGGGAGAGTTGAATTAGATACAAATGATTTGGAGAGTTGATAAAGATGGTTGGGAGAGTTGAGAAAAAGAGGGGATTTGGAGAGAGAAAGAGAGATCGAAGAAGATAGGAGAGAGAGAGAGAGAGGAAATGAACAAAATGTGAGAGGAGAGAGAGAATGGTTGCGTGAGGAGAGAGAATGAATAACTAAGAGGAAAGAGAATGATTGTGTGATGGATAGAGAGAGGAGGTGATATTTGGAGAGAGAAAAGAGGAGAGAAGAGTGGCTTGACGAAGAGAGATAAGGTTGTTTATACGGGACCGCATTGGGTTGTGCTCGAGTTTATTAGAGAATAGGGAAGAGAAGCATGATAAGGGGAGATAAAAGGGGATAGGGCAGATGGAGAGAATAGAGGGACCTTGGGTATGCGTGCACCATAAGGGGATATAAAAAGGGATAGGGCAGATGGAGAGAAAATAGGAATAGGAAGGTCGTGGGTACAGAGAGAAAATAGGAATAGGAAGGTCGCGGGCACGGAGAGAAAATAGGAATAGGAAGGTCACGGGCACGGAGAGAAAATAGGAAGGTCGTAGGCATGGAGAGAAAATAGGAATAAAAAGGGATAGGGCGGATGGAGAGAAAATAGGAAGGTCGTGGGCACGGAGAGAAAATAGGAAGGTTGTGGACACGGAGACGGAGACGGAGACGGAGAGACAATAGGAAGGTCGTGGGCATGGAGAGAAAATAGAAAGGTCGCGGGCACGGAAAGAAATTAGGAAGGTCGCGGGCACGAAGAGAAAATAAGAAGGTCGCAGGCACGGAGAGAAATAGGAAGGTCACAGGCACGGAGAGAAAATAGGGATCTCACGGGCACATAAAGAAAATAGGGAGAGAAAATAGGAAGCTGGCGCGCACAGAGAGAAAATAGGGAGCTGGCGCGCACAAAGAGAAAATAGGGAAGAAAGAGAAAGAGAAAGAGTGGACCTAAACCGGCTTGGATTTGTGCGCGCCTTTGAGGATCCCTTTTGAGCACTCTTTAGAAAGATGTCTTGACCTTTGGGGCTAAGGTTGGGGTCTAAGTCTAAGATGAATAGACCTAAGTGGGTTAGGGTAGTGTATGAGATAGGGTGTATGGTGATCTAAGGTGAGGTATATGGTGTAGGGAGTAGGAAGTTGTAAAGGCTGGGGAGTAGGAAGTTTAAAGTTCTAGGTAGTTGGGAATTGGAAGTGGGGGGTTTGGAAGTTGGGAGTTGGAAGTGGGAGGTCCAAGGGAAATTACCTAAGGTGGTAAAGTTTTCCCTCTCATCTCTATTGAAGTTGGAAGCTATACACAATCAAAGGCTTGAAGGGGCAAGAACCCAATTTTTATTACGCTTCCTAGCGTAGGTATACATATGACTTAAGCTCACTTATACAGAGCAACGACAAAACAAGGGTGGCATACTCAAAACTAAGCCAAATTGTGGAAAACTATAATTTAATGAAATTAAAGTAAAATCCCTTTTTTGACAAAATTACCAAAATACCCCTAAGTTCTTTTGAGTAAAACCCTCCCTCCATGAGGGGCCTCTTGGCATTGCTGAACTTCTGAAGCTTTTTAGGATGCTTACAACAGTGATTTGAACGATCCATCGTCATAGAATTGATACTCGATCTGTTCTGAACATTTTGATGTCCTTTGATTGTCTTGAAACGGATTTTTCATGGAGTAAAAATCCGGCCAAGTACATAAACTTCGACCACCGATCCGGTGCAATCCACGATGTTTCAAGTCCTCATTTTGATCACAAATTAAAGGGGACATTGTCAGAATCGTTTTGCACCAAATTTCGTCCAATTTGGCTTCCGTTTGAACATATCCCCAAATTGGAAAGTCACCGGAAAATGAGATTCCAGCGACTAGGAAACTCTTGTCATCTTAAACCTTGAAATTCAGGCCATCCGGCCGTTAACTGAATGTAAAATCTATATCAAATTTATAACTCTTCGCGATGCGGTCGCAATGGACACGATGTCGTGCCGATCCGAGTTACGGATCTTGAGTTATTGTTTCGCGAAGTATGGGATGTCTTTTTTCAAAATTCTAAATTTCATGGTTTCGATGTCATCTTCTCTCTAAAAAGTATTTCGTCTCGGGCCACGCCATGATGCGTGCCATATGTCAAAATAACCTGGTTGTCGAGACTTAGCTTGTGTCTGAATTTGAGCTTGTTCCAATTCCAAACGAGCTAGCTATGAGCACTTGCCGAGGGGTGAAAACGCAATTTCCAAAAATGACAATTGGTTCACTGAGGCCGCACCGCAATAGTTTGAAACCTACCCATTTATAGTAATTTGGGCCCAGAATGGTCCTGAAAAAGCCGATTGAGCCCAAATTTAGTCCCTGCGGGTTTTTCGACATTCTGGATCTAGTGGCAGTGGTCTGGTATTGTTTAGAAACTCGAAAAATGGGGCTGTAGTTATAAGGTCCCTTTTCACCACGATAGGATCTGGATTGAGAACCGAGTTTCATCTTGATCATATCAAAACTTATCGGAATGTGATGAAACTTTGTGAGCGTCCTTCGGGCATCCCAAACTACCCCTTTCATGTCTTTTGAAGCCATTCCAGTACTTTTTCAATGGTTGCCCAGTTTTAGGCTTATTTTGCAGTATTCCCTTAGTCTGGGGGTGTCTTGGGTACCGACAGGCCCAAGTTGTCTTGGGTACCAGGGATGTAAGTACGTCAAAAATGACGTATAACAATCAGCACTTCAAGCATTATACTAATCATACATATAAACTCCTACACATGCACACTAAAGATAACAAAAATGCAAATTCATTATGTTATGTTTAATTATTGATAATTGTAAATCTTAAAGATAAAAAATAATATAAACTCTCAAAAGCATAAAACAATGAGGTAAGCCATTGGCATCATTAGGCGAATCAATTGTCCTTTGAGCTTTCTATTAAGATGGGCATTCCTTAGTGGTAGTTTTGTCATTAGTTCCTCGTATTTCTCTAGCTGCCACATAAATTCATGTGCAAAGATGGACGTAGGAGACATACATTTACAAAGCATGTTGTTTTTGGCTTTAGTGGTACACTTAGAAATTAGCAATGCAGAGTCAATTGAGTTTGTGAGGCCTAAAACAGATCCCGATTCATTTGTGGCAAAGATTATACCATGGGGATCAAATCATAATCCATGGGTTTGATGTTTTAGATCCCTAGTAATCCAACACAGTACACCGAACAACATTAGGTTTTTGAGATGGGGACCATTTGGAAAGTTTCTTTACAGAAATTCAAGGATTGCAATCAGGAGAACAAACCTTCTTCATTCCATGATATTGACAACTTTATGAGTATCTTTACCCAGCATTGGGCAATTCAGGTGTGAAATTGGGCTCTGACAATTTCCATGTCCAGACATATTCTAGCATAACACTTTTAATGTTTTTGTTAGTTCTGTCTATAATCATTTAAGAAACAAAAATAATGATAATATCATAACTATATGCACCACAACAATTTGTGAATATATCATAACTATATGCACCACAACAATTTGTGAATTAATGCATGAAAGAAATTAAGTTGTTCACCAACAAATATGATTTCCAACTAAGAAGTTGCACAACAACGATTGCTATGCCTTGAAGCAATATGATTTCCATCTGAGAAGGTTACCCATAAGAATTCTAAATCAAAAACAGTAGTGGGCATGTCAAATGTAGCAAATAATATTATATGAAAGTAGCAGTCAGTGCAAATAGAAATCCAAAAATAATTTTATGAATTGCATTAAAGCTAAGTATTTCCTCAACTGAACTATAATGAAATACATAGTTAATAAAGGAAAGGTGTTGTTGTTTATGATATAAACACAAGCAAGAAGACTAGTTTCATCAACTCACTTCCAAATAATCAGTGTATCAACAAGCCTTGCATGGCCTTCCCATAATGAAGGGTGATAATTATATAAAGCATACCATTACTACGAAGAAAAAGCCGAGTTTCACCATCATAAAGGGTTCCTTTTGCCCTGTTGTAAGCAAAGAAGGCCTCACACAGATCTTCTTGACCCTGATAGCATTAAAATTTAGAACATCATGTCGATGCAGAAGACGTTATGAGATAATGCACCAACTCCTGCATCATCATCCTAACCATTTTTTACCAATAAATGTTTCAGGGATTAGTAATTGTACCTTCACACAAAAACCACAATTACCACAAGGCATTATAAATGCACCCACGACCCGACTTCCGACAGGAAACCTGCAAACATATGCCAACAGTAGTAATTAAAACTGCACTTCAACATGCTGTAAGTTTCCTTACAACTATTGCAATAGCATTTAGTATCAGAATCACAATGGCCATCAAATTGAAATAAATATTAAAGGGGAAAGCATAACAATAATCAGTAATAAATAATGAGATCCATAGTCCATTGGGTCATCACAGTCCAATGAAATGATGGACAATGATGGAGAGCAGGGTGGATCCACCAAAACAAGAAACGACCCAATGTTGACTACACCAAGGGACTATGGTTTCCAATAGACCTTTGAAAGATAATGTATTTTCCCAATCTTAAATATGTTCTCATCTCTGTGGTGCTGAAATCAAATACATTTTCCTTGCCTCTTCACAACTGCAACGTCAGTGTGTGCTCCGTGGTCTACTACCTCTCCAGTTATTTCATGGCCAACAACACATGGACTTGCAAAAGGAAGATCTCCATTCATGACATGGAGGTCAGAGTGACACACTCCACAGGCTGCAGTCATAATGGCAACTAAGGTCAAATACTAATTTTGCACCACAAAACCAATAGAAAATTATGTAGTTTACACTATGAGACGGCATTGGTGTACTTGATCTAATATTTCTTGGACTACCTGTATTAACTCTGCTAATAAGAAACATGCAAATCGGTTGCCAACCATTCAATAGCACTCAGAGAGAAAACAAGAACTAGATTTATTTGCACAAAAATGAAAGGCTAATATTTTCTTTTTCTTTTTCTTTTAAAAGTTTTATCAAGATGAATTCCAAAAAAGAATACGTTGCTCAAGGAAACAAAACCAACTTCCTAAACAGGAAGCTTTTGTCTCAACATACAAATAACTTATGAATATGTATCTATCCAGAAACAGGATGTCCATTACAGAAATGCAACTGATGTGGAATCACATTACTAGGGTGCTGCCAAGTTTACAGATTCAAAAAACTATCACCAGCCATGAGAAATTGACAAGAGCTGCCTCTAATTTTGGGGTATAAGATAAAAACAGCCTTCACCTTTTTAGAACAGTTCAAAAAACCCCTAAAATATCCCTCCCTCTGACCTCATTTACAAAAAAGTTGATAGATTAAATAGAAACACAAGGAAAGGTAAGTTTCATCACTTGGACTAACAAGCTTAGTTTGTTGAATTCTGAGTACCAGTAAAAATCATCTAGATTTCTATAATCCATGTTATTCTGCTGCTTTCTTTTCAAATTACCCTGCATACAATTAGGAATTTGTTAATAGACCACATGGGATGTATACCTAAGCCAAGGAATTACCTCCATATTACTGTTGTATACCATATGGGAAGTGTGACAAGTGAAAAAGACATGGCTACGGATGCCTATTATTCCATAGAAAAGATTGAAACATAAATTTCAACTTGTCACCCATCTATTGATCAGCGAAATGTATTTATAACTAGTGACCCAGACATTAGTATATTCTAATGTACTTCTAAAATACCAGATTTATAGTGAATCCTTGGTCAATCCCAAAGGTTTATCTTGAGATTCATAGCTTCCAGCTTTCAATGAGTGCAGCATCCAGAACCGGTGGAGGACTGATCCACCCAGACGATCCTCTTTTTAGAAACCTTAGTGTAATTAAAATAAATAGATTAAATCTATTTGTTACATTTTAAAATATGTTATCTTATTATGATATAGTAATCACACAGACATGCCTTCCCATGCCTCGAGTTTAGTCCATCACATCTCACACTTCACAAGCATCATTTTCGGGCAGTTGCGTGTCTATGCAACAAGGGATCGAACTGTTTAGCTATCAAATGGTATCATGTTTTACACTGGGAAAGCCAAACGCTACCCAAATGCAAGATTCCTATGATTAGCTCTTCGGTAATGAGAGTGTGCTTCATCTCTAGAAAGTAAAAATATGTACCTATGCAAGTAAAGACCAAGGATCTGCAGCAGCAAGAGTAAGAAAGGCTGTAGGCAAAAGAATATGATATTTTACAAGAACTTATTTGACTAGGAATTTCCATGTGAGATAAATAGTTTTTGGAGCAATCACTACCCAATACATGGTTACTGCAGCAATTACACCAAAATCTTATTCTCTGAAGTAAGAACTCCAAGATTTCATCACAAGGATCTTATTCAAAGGTCATAGTCCTTGAACATCTTAAGAACCTGAAATTTCTTTTACAACTTATCCTAGGAATGCTAAATAGAATCCCAATATTCTCTATTCATGGGGAGAACACTTGCTTATAAGTACAAAATTTGAGTGGGAGGGCATACTCCAAACTTCCTACCCACTCCTATGTGTTTAGTAACTGATCAACCATTGTCATTATTCCTTAACAATGTCATACCAATCAGAGATCACAGACCTGCAAAATGCTGACTAACATATCCAACAAAAGAGGCTTATCCCCAAGATCAATAATCCATCTCATAATTTATACCAATAGTTGAAGAAGATGGAAATCAATTACCATATGCATTAATTTGAAGTACTACCAACTAAAATTAGGAAAGGGAAATTGAGTGAGAGAGAGAACCCTTGGTTGCATTAATTTGAAGTACTGCAAACTGAAGTTAGAAAGGGAAAATGAGAGAGAGAACCCTTGGTTTTGATGAGGACCTCGCCCGCCTTAGGACGAGGCAAGTGGAATTCTTCGATTGAAAGTGGTTTCTTTGGCTCCCAAAAGACAACAGCGCGCATGAATGAAGGGACATCCCTAAGGTGGTATCCGCTTACGTCTTCTGTCTTTGAGCTCACCCCACTTAGGTTTCTTCTCGTGCTAGAACGTAAGGAAGAGCGCAGGTTATAGAGCCTCTGAAACGATCGCCATGAGCGAAAGAGGAAGGCCATGGGAAATAGCACCCCAAAAGACTAGAGAGAGAGAGCTCTGGTTTAATCCAGTTTAGGTAGAGACAGGAGAGAGAGGGAGGGAGGGTATCTACACAGATGCAGTAAAGAGAGAGATGTTTATCCATTTGAGGAGAGAGAAAGTAATCAGACTGAATGACGCTCCGGATTTTGCTCAACTGAGGTTTCGTCGGCCATTTCTTTATTGGAAAAGTCCAGCTCGCGGTTTTAGGGGCTCCTTTTTCTCTCTCCCCATTCCCCCTCTCTCTCTCTCTCTCTAAAACTTTCTCCCAACTGTACTACTTCCCTCCAATGGTCTCACTTTCTCACTCCTTAATTCCTCTCCAGTTTACTATTCAATATCTTTGTCGCTCTTCAAATCTTTTCAAGTTGGGATTCTTTACTGCGTGGCCATTTGTCGTTTTTTTTGGAAGGATCCGGTTTCTATGCAGCCGAGCCCGCATATGTAGAAATATGCGTCTCTTACTAAAAGTTCTTTTTGAGTTGGATTTTAAGATTTAATTCTTAAGAACAAGTAATCTTCAACATGGAGATCATGAATATAAAAAAGTAAATAAATTTTAAAAATTAAAAATAATATTTCTAATAAAAAAATATCTACCATGTTAGTTTCTATTGTTCTTAAATGAAACACCTAAGATAGATGTTTTACACTTTTATGGACCGCTTATGTAGAACTGCGGTCAAGCCCACATGAAACAACTTTCTCTTTTCTTTCAAAGAGGTCACCATCATTCCTAAGTGATAAATGTCAAATTGAAGGGCTTATGTAAGGAATTGCAAGAAATTTCCTTTGAGCTGTGTGTAGTGAACAATATACTTGCAACCACCCCATTTAAAATTTGACAGATAAAGGGGATTGTTACATCCTTGTGGAAGTAAAATATTTTCTTTGTGTACTTTTTTTTTTTAATTGAGAAAAGTTTATATAGAGCTGAGGCTCTAAATAATCAAATTTGAACATATCTTGAAAATTTTTACTGGAAAAGGTTATTTTGATGTTCAAATATCTTCAAATTGATCATCTCGACATCAAGAAGCATAAACACGAGAAAAAAATAGATTTTAAGTTTTGAAAATAGTGCATTTTATAACGCATTTTTGGATTGCCAATTTTCAAGATTTCATAGATCTGTCTATGTACACTATTTTTGAAGCTTTAAACTTTATAAATAAATATAAAAATATATTTGAAGGCCATTACAAAGTTTTCCTATATTAAAACCACTTTCTCGATACCATTTGAAAGTAGGCTCTAATTTAATTGTTTAGAGCCTAGGCTCTATAGTCTATACAAACCGCACCAGAAGACTTTCCTTTCTTCAACAACTCCCGAGTACTAAATCATCAAATGAGTATAATCCAAATCGGGAACCACTAATCGTATTAAGAATATGCGAGGATCGAAGTGGTTATGATAATATATCAAAGTAGTACTTTGAACCCCACCCATCGAGGATAAGACGTCCTTTTCATGCTTTTTTAACTCCTCTTTTAAGTTTTTTAATAATTTTCTTAGGTTTTCCCAACTCCACTAAATCCAACACCCATGAACCCCTTTTTTTATTTTTTATTACTGATCTAGATCAACAATCCAACACATCAGAGCTGCACTCTCTCCATACCTCCACCAAAAATGTCCTAAAAGAACCAATCTATTTGGAAATGCCTCTCTCTTTCTCACACAATAACATGGGCTGCAAAGAACTAACAAATACATTTCGAATTGCCTTTGTTTTCCACCTCTTATCCTTTACTCTCAATCTGTATGACCAATCGTTTATAAATTTTATTGTTTTTGGCATATGGTCCACTAATTTTATATTTATGTACCAGTACATGAGTTTGTCAATAATTATTCAAAAGTTAATATGGGTTGTAATTGGTGTTTTTACAACCAAATTTGTTGCTCTAAGTAAAAGGTTCTTTTATAAGCAATAAGAGTGTATTTGAGATTTCAACAAACGATATTTTGAAAGCAAGATTCTTAGAACTTTATTAGTACAACATCATTGTCTTTTAGTTTAAATTTCAAGTACGCTTTTATAAAAGAAAAAAGTTTATATAAGGATTCTACCTTATAATGTAGAACTATGGATGCCCCTCAAAAATTTATTAGAAAAGGTAGTTATAATGTTAAAAAACCCTTTGATTGATCATCTCGATATCAAGATGTATGACTATGAAAAATAAAAAGATTTTAAGTCTAAAAAATAGTGCATTTTACAGCATATTATCTTTACCGTCTATTTTCAAGATTTTCATATGTTTATATATCTACTTGATTTTAATCATTTTTTAAATTTAAAATTTGATAATTAGATATAAAAATAGTTTTTGAAATAATCCTAAGAGCATTTTACATCAAAATTATATACCATGATAAAATTTGGAGGTGTACCTTACCTCTACACCTACAGATACATCCGTATGCAAATTGCACCCTTTGTAAAGACGACAAAATTAGTTTTTCTTTTAATAATAACTGCACATATATCATACTTTAACGATCATATTATTCATAAAAAACCAGCTTTTAGTGATAAACTTCTCGGCTTTTGGATAAGGTCAAATGCAACAGCCAATTCATATTGTATATATAGGAAAAGGGCTAAGATCGTGGTAGTAGCATCCCCACAGCTACCATACCATGTCGTGGTATCCACTGACACCTCCAAGTCACACCTTCGAAATGTCACTCCCTAATCTATTGAATAAACTGGATAAGGGCAAATTACCCAAAAAATTCATATCGCACATATGAGGGCTCCATTTCAAATCTAACTTAAAAGATCGATTTTCAATCCAAAATTTTTGGGGTTCACAACCTAGGCTAAGATGATCGTGACTACGAAAAAGTAAAATAATATTTTAAACATTTAAAATGTGATTCTTTTAGGGATATTTCTACACCATCAATATTTACCTTAGCCCCGTGGGGTTTTTACCTCATCTTAGTTTAGCCCGCTGACTCGTGAACAATTTTTCCTTTATTTATTAATCAGCAACATTAATCTAGAGTTAGCAGTAAGCCCAAAGTGGAATTGATATTTTAGACATAACATTGCCCATTAACAGGGGCATGGATCAGGCACATTTTGCCTACTAAGGAAAAGTAAGGTAAAAGGACTTGAAGAAATGTAAGAAGAAACAAGAAACCAGGAAAACAAAAAAAATGAAAGAAAAGGAAATTGAAAATTTTCATTACATTTAAAAGGGATATGACTCTCCATGCTGCTGTAATTCAAGCTTCACTTTCACAAAAATCCATATAAAACCTGCGCATTATTACAGCGTAACTTCTCTATAACAAAGACTACGATATCAATTACCTCAAAAATCTCGGAACAGCCAAACCCACTTGGTCCTAAAATGTCCCTTGCCAAAACAAGCAATTTCATGCGCCAAAAAACAGTCTTTTTACTATACCAAATTATCCGAACTTGATATATGATACGGTCTTGTTGGTTGTGTCAACAAAGGGATTTTGCTTAACATCACTTCTTAGAACCAGTCGGGGTCTCCAAATTCATCTCCTGAAGGTTCAGCAAGAGTTCATCTGAGTTCAAGAAAATGCGGTTTGCAGAGTTCGCGATGATCTGTGATATCTCTCTTGCAGCTTCAATCTTCCTCAATGTGATGAAAGCTTGGTTATTAGCAATAGCCTCACCAATAAGTTGGGCGCTCTTGGCTTCTCCCTGATCATCACAGATTAGAGTAAATAAAGCCAACAATCATTTCTTAATTTCAGAATGGAGGGAAATAATGGAAGTACAGTTTAAGGACCATGTTTAATATCAACAAGAAGAAAAGAAGATTTTTAAAGAAAGGCATATATATACTCTTAACATATGTGCAGATTATGGCAAAAAACAAACAAAGTTGCTCATGTAAGTAAATCCCATAGTGATATTCATTAACATAAAAAACTTTTGGATGCAAATTATTAAGCTCACTACCGCAAATCACTTTTGGAGAGACTGTTGCAGTCATTTATCAAGGGAAAATTCACTAATGTAATTCAGAGAATACATTTTGGTTGGGTTGTGTTAGGTTTATGATAGTCAAAATCACCACTCCTATGTTTCTCAAAAGTTTGAGGATAGACAGCACCGACCCTCTCCAGCCATCAATTTGACAGAATATCCTAGAAGTCCCTCATGGAGCTGAAAGCCCCATTTAAGGACAAAATGATCAAGGCTACTCCCAGATTGGGTAAACATAAAGTGTTTGGCCCGGATGGCTTCCGGGTGATAGTCTTTCGTCAATTTTGGGATACTGTTGGGGCACATTTCATGAGAGTTCTTCCCTGGATTGCATCAGAGGGGAACTCATACACACGGCATTAAACACCACCTTCATCATCCCGATCCCCAAAATTGAGGGTACTTAAGAACTCAAGTTTCCAAGCCAATCAGTCTCCTAAATAGTTCATATAAGCTGCTGGCAAAGGCCCCCCAACACCTCGCCACAAGGCTCCAAAAGGTCCTAAAACAAGATCATCTCACCACCAAAGAGTGCCTTTATCAACGGTCAGCAAATTTTTGACACTGCACTCATTACTCACGAGTGCATCCATAAGAGACATCACCTCAAAATCTGTGGAATTATCTGCAAATTGGATTTGGAGAAAGCTAATGACCACGCTGATTGGTGTATCCTATACCGTGCCTTGATGTGAAAAGGGTTTGGCTGCTGATGGAGATAGTGGATACATGCCTGTATTTCGTCAGCTGGTTTTCAATAGAAATCTCCATGGTTTTGTCACCTCAAAAAAAATCTCCATGGCTTCTTCATAGCATCCCAATGTCCTCAATAAGAAGACTCATTACTCACCCTTCCAGTTTGCAATCACAAAACAATTTCAGTCAATAAATCACAGATCTCAGCACCAATGGTTTCCTTCTAGGTTTCAAGGCTTCTCACACAAGCCCCTCCATATCCCATATGCAATATGTGGACACCCTAATTTTTGGTGATGCTCCTCTGTGAGAAGCCCCTCCATATCCCATCTGCAATATGTAGATACCCTAATTTTTGGTGGGGCTCTACATTAGATGCTTTGAGCAGGCCTCTGATTTGCACATTAACATGCTGAAAACTAAAATCATCAGGAGTGGTAACAAATAAAGGCACCAGAGTTGCCCTTGTATAGAGGATGGATAGTGGGTATGATCATTTGCCTTCAGACTGCAGAGGCCTGCCATTGTGCTTTGGAGAGCCAACAAAGCAATAGTGGGATAGCATTGTCGAAAAGTTTGACAGGAAAGTGGTGAGCTGGAAATGCCGACATCCATTGTTGGAGGCTGCATAACTCTTATTAAATGCTCTTGAGTATCCCCATCATTCAGATGCAACTCTTTTACATGCCCATGTCTGTAATCCATACACTTGAGCAACCAATGAGAATTTCTTTGGAAATTTCACCTAGTCATTTGGAAAATGTTTGTAAACCCAAGTTAGTTGGCAGTCTAGGCATTATTTGCCTTAGAGAAATGAGATTTGCCATTCTGGGAAAATGATGGTGGAATTTTGCCACACAAGAGGACCTACCATGGCATGTAGTCATCACCAACAGATAAAGGACCTAACCTCTTGGCTGGCTACCCCAAGGTGTTATCAATGGGAGGGCATTGGGGGCTTGGATCAGCCAACTCTTAACCCTTGTTCTGTCCACACATACAATATGCAGCCAAGAATGGGGATTGCACTATATTGTGGATGGACCTATGGTATGGGTTGACCACAGTAGAAACCACCGTTCCCCAATCCGGATGCTGCTGAACAGGAAGAAACCATTGTCAGTACTTCAAGAAATAAGGTGGCCGCAGGCTATCGACCCCCTTGTTCGAAGGAACCTTGACAAAGATATAAAACGTAAGCCATGGAGCGTCATGGAACCCTTAGAGTCAGTAAATATTCGACAAAGAGGACATGGGCAAAGTCACCTGATCACCCCAATCTTCAGGTCATTTTTCTGTCCCTTCTTTCTACTCTAAACATACTCCATCAAATTCCGAGCCACAGATCATCAACAAGGTGTGGTCTATACCATCTCCACCAAAAGATGAAGCTTTTGGCTGGCTTGAGATATCAAGTCAAGCACTCACAATGGACCAGCTACAGAGAAGAGGCATCTTACTACCCAACTGATCTACATGTGCAAACAGCCAAGAGGACAAGGAAAGTACAGTCCATTTATTCCTACACTGTAAGTTAGGCTTATTTGGTAGTATTTCTGACGTTTGTTCCACATCCAGTGGCATCCCGGAGTCTAGAAGCTCATCTTATGGTTCACCACTCCATTCCCTAGAACAGATCTTCCTCTGTGGAGACTCACCATCCTCTCTACCTTCTGGCCATCTGGTGGGAGAGAAGTCGTTGAACGTTTCAAAGCATGGAGATCAACAATCCAAACTTCATTCAGCGCATCCTAACATCTACGATATCTTGAGTGGCACCTCATAAAAAACTTCTTGGAGTCACCTCATATTTCATTTCCAACTAGGAAAACATGATTTGGTGGCATTTGCCCCATCTGCCAACTCATGGCTGTTCCCTTGGAAACCAGACTCCTCAGGGATTTGGAGTCTGTTTAGAAATGAAAAGGGATGAGATGCTTCTCACCTACTCTGACCGAAGTGGAACGTTGACTCCAATACGGCAGAAGTGTAACGGCTGCTGATAGGTCTCACGCTCTACAATCCCTCCGAGGGAATATTGATTGTGGAAGGAGATTAACACGATGCTAAAGCCTGGGCAACGAAGTCATCATCCATTCCTGGACATTTGACAATTTATTTGATCAAATTGTCCTAATGTTCCAACATTTTCAAGTGCAATTTGGACTGGATAGAAAGTAAAATCGTATTGGTAACGCCTTAGCAAAGGCAGGCATCCCCAAAGTCAATCTCACAAACCCTAGACCACCCCCACCACAATTACAACCATAACACAGAAATTTTGAACGTACCAAAACCAACCCCCCAGCCAAATTGCTGTACAGAAACAAGTGTCCTTCATTCAATTTTGTACAAACAGCAATTTTTGTCAGATTTTGTAAACATCCAATTTTGATATATAACACTAGTTTTTTTAAATAAAGATGAAAGTATATAATACCATAGTTGTTGGGATCGGGAGCAAGAATGGTACCAGGATTGAGATCGGGAGCGAGGGATCGTGAAATGCTAGAAGAACCCTATGGTTGGGAACGCCTTTCGTACAATGCACATATTAGGTATTGAGATCCTCAAATGTTATGGATCGAGATTCCAACCTTTTGGGGATCTTGATCCCGAGCTTTTGGGATCTTGATCCCAACTTTAAAGTGTATCATAAGCAATGATTATGCATACTCTTTAAAGTAGGGATCTCATTATTTATAGCAAGCAAGCAATATTTGTGTTGCTAGTTGGCTATAAACAAAGAAAATCATCAGTTTTGTTGTTGTTGTTTTAGTCTTTAAGGTTGGGATCGAGATCCATAGCAGAAAGAATCGGGATCCTTTTCTATGTGGTACGAAATCCCAAAATTTAAAATTCGAGATCCCTTAGAAATCCGTTCCGGGAGAGACATAATCGAGATTCTAGTAGGGATCGCCTACCAAAGTAGGAGATCCCGGTAACTATGTATAATGCAAACTTTTTGTACCTAATACTGTACTACAAGTTATATTTTCAGAAAAACAGAAGAAACTCCTTACTAAAATAACTCCTCATATGTGTGCATTCTCTGTGTGTGTGTGTGTGTGTGAGAGAGAGAGAGAGAGAGAGAGAGGAGGAGGAAGGAAGGAGGGAGGGGGGAGGGGGGTAGTTGTACGAGAGTAGGTAGGTATAATAAGTACGTAACTTTACTTACCACTACGTGTCGTCTCGTAGTAACTAACGACTACCTTCTTTCGTTCGTTCGTTCGTCGTCGTTCCTTTCCAC